CAGCAACCCACAGATTGCATGCTTGGATTTCCGGGCTGGGAGATTGCCACAGACGGGGAAATAGCGGCCCAACACAAAATATGGCACCGGGTACATCGTTCGGCACGACCTCTGCCATGTCTTAGCTGCAATCAAGTACCGACGCCATTGCGGGGAATATTGAGAGCGTTCTGAATTATACAAGCAGATGCGCATATTGACATCGCCGATGTACAGATTAGTGGATGTTCACCGGTGAAGCTATGCAAGAGGATTCGTACTTGATGGTCAACCTTGCTACCTTGAGAGTATCATTCTCCGTCGAAATTATCCTAGATACGGTAAGCTTGTGTATAGCAGACAGCGGAGCATCCTGAACCGAGTTAGGGAACTCAAACTGACAAACTGACATTTAATGATCACAAGTTCTGACTGTGATACTCTTAGTACTCTTAGTACTCTTAGGGTCCTCTCCACTAGTGCATACGCAACCCATTTTGTATGTGTGTTTGAACTTGATTTACTTGATTAAGACTAAGAGGTGGTCCCGTGAGTATTTTCTTCCTACGTTACTTGATCCTTTTGTACATGGCTCTAGTTTGAACGGGCCGAGTTGCTATTTGTGAGTAAATATACTCAACATCGAGTGACAGGTAGGCAGATAGGTAGGTGGTTATCCGACGTAAAGGCTTGTGCCACGCAGGCAGGCGGGTTGGCTCCTCTTCATATATCTCTAACTTGAAACTAAGAATAGAATGAGGCAAGCTGATTCGCTGTAGTTTGTTAATCCACCTATCTTCGAACTCAAGCTGACTTATCGATAGCTTTGTTTCTTAAAGCTACATTAGATCTGCATAAATATTTCTGGAATTAGTGCCAAGTGCTCGATCTCGTAGAATTATCTGCAATGTTCGTCAGATGGGGGGACGGAACTGATCCCAACCATTAAACGACCTTAAAAATATCTTCCCACTGTGGGTGTTGCATTGAAGTGTTGAAATAGTATGTGGGGACCCATTTAACCCATTTAACCCATTTACTTGCTGCTGGGGAGCTTAGAAGAAAGTGCAGGTATGCGTGATTGGCTAGATTCCTAAAGAAGTCTAGAAGCTCACTTCGAGATATGATTTCGTCCTGTTTTAGGTAGTTTATCCATGTACAATTCCTAGCGTCATTGGGTCTTGACCGTTTTTGTGTTGTGTTACCCGCTTTTACTGGAGCCGCTTCAAGTCTCATTGGTCGATCTTGAAATTAAGCAGCGTTTAGCTTGGAGCTTCTCGATGAATGCACCGAATCAGAAGCCTGTGCCTGTCGAGCCCCTTCCCGCAACGCGTGAATGATAGCAACTACGGATCCGTACCCCCTTGCTAATGAGATTCATCTATGGCCAATCATTTTTCACGGCTCTCCTAAGATGAGCTCCACAATCTGTTGATCTCGCTCATCCTCTTCAACTCTCCGTGTCCCCCCCCTCCCTTTCTTTCCTTTCTCTTCACGATCTTCGTCGTCGTTGTCGTTGCCGTCCTGTTGTTGCTCTGTCGGTTCAGAGAGTCCATTCCTTTGGCTTTGAGCCCCTCCCTCTCATTCACTCATTATTTGGTTTCGACTTCACTCTTTTTTGGGTTGATTCCGTCCGGTCTTTTTTTCTTCTGGAGTTTTCCGAAGCCTTCCGAAGTCTCGAGACCTTTACTCTCCCTTACGTATGTTCATCGATGTCTTGAACCAGTCTAGGAGGCAAGATGGTCATATCCATCCGTCTGCTATCTGGCTTTCTATGTTCTAGACCGTATTGAGTCAAATATCTAACTCATGTCTCAATATAGCCGTGCCATTCATTGATTATTCAACTGAACCGACATAATCCCTTGACACCCGGCATTAAACAACGACAATACTCATATCGTCAGATCAGCAGTTATCGTCAATATGTCTACTTTCAGCAACCTTATTGCCCGTGGCAATGCTGTCCTTTCCAGGCGGGACCTTGAGATGGGAGGCGAGCCGGACGGGGTCATAGACCTTATGATTGCCTTTCTTGGCATCGCTTTCTTCGCTCTTGTTCTGGTAGCCTTATTATTCATGATGCGGCGTGCGAAGCGCGAGCGACAGCTCCAGAAGGATGGCCTACCGCAGTATAACGACATCAAACACGATGATACCACTCGTCATCTCACCATCCAGACCTCTGATGGGCGATCAAGTATTCTAGTTCTGAATGGTCGTCCAATGCTAAATGACCCGAGCTCGCCACCCTACTCGCCCAACAACATTCCCGAGATTCACATCACCTTCCCCGACGAGCAAGATGAGCAAGGTCGCAACAAGGGCGGCCGTGTTGTGGTTGTCCGAGTCGGCGAGACCACTGTTGGTCTTGAGCCTGTAAAGGAGGAGCAACTACCAGCGTATTCCAAGGAGAACAGCGCCGGTTTCTACTCGATCGATATGGATCAAATCGGTGGACTGAAGGAGAAGGATCGAAGCCAGTTCTCCTGAGCTACGATTAGCCTGGCCTTCCTGCCAAAATTTCTCAAAGTTCAGAAACGCTACTTAATCGCCACTAAACCGACTTAATTTAACATGATGGGGGAGTTTGAACGATATATATACATATGCATGAATAATGGTGTACCTATTACAAAGCAAATGTCTATATTACCCTTCTATAAGTACCTCTAGGAGGAGGCGGGGATGCGGAAGGACGGACCGCGGTGGAAGGCGAGTCTGGATGGCCATATGTTTACCATCCGGCGCTCTAGGTACATTCGGTCCTGTATATAACGATACCCCTTTGCTTTTTTGTCTTCACTTTTCCGGGGCCACCACGGACAACTAAGCCTTCCAGTGCGAGTAATATAGACGAGACCGCCAGTCACGAGATATATTCTCAGTTGTATAGCTAAATTAATTCCGTCATCCAACTCAGCAATACTTATTTCTACTGAAAATAGCTAATTCTACTTGGGCGCGTCCACGTTCACAGTGTTGGTGGTATCTTGAGCGCTCAGTAACTCGAACTTTAAGCTTATACATAACTATTAGGACATACAGCTTCACGAGGTCATCGGACATATAAACCGAAATGAGACAGTGCCTACAGAATCGAGACGTATCTCTCTTCTTTGGGTGGCTCACCAGGACTTATCACATACTAGTCGATCACTACTAGCATAATACCGCGAGCATTCAATCTCAGACTGCTGCGACCAGTCAGAGACGACAGCCACACGACGCCCACACGTAGCGATTACCTATATCCATACTATATAAGGCCGTAGCACTAATGCCCGCAGAGCTAGTTAGTCAGTCCGCTGAAGGTACGGCGTGTAAACCAATGAAGTTCGGAGAAATTAAGATGAAGAACCATTATCCTCCGCCTCTCCGCACATGTCATTCTTAGACAGTCCAGAAACAAATGATATACTTGCGCGTCGACGAGGCTTTTTGTCGTGCATACATGTGGCTTGTTAAGTAGCGGTAGATACGTTTCATGCGGGCATGACGATTTCTCGGTTGCCGCTGTCGGCCGGTGACATGTCATGGCGTTCTCATGGAGAAGTTATCCGAAACACGCGTCTGCAGACTATTCGTTGAGATATATTTCACTCACATCTTCTATTAGGCGTCGTTGAATGAATTCAAGACAAGAGCGTTTATAATCATGGCCTTCGAAGGTTGCTACGACCTATATAATGCTTCATCTGTCTACAATCCCACTTCGTTTGCTTCGCAGACGGAAATGACGATGTGCTGCTATAAAAATATAAAAACCCTCCCATACATATCATTGTCCGAGCGTGAGAGTAGCTCACAATGCTTCATTAATCTCATCGCTATACTTCTATACGAACTACTTTGGAATTTCGAATAACGTCCCATACACTGGTCAACTCACTTTGGGGGATAATATTAGAACAGAGTACTTGGGGCGGAAAGCCACTCGAAAAATCTGCGGATCTCAGGCCATCTCCCTCATTAACGGTAAAACCGTACGTCCGAACAGATTCACCGTTAAGATATCTAAAGCATTTAAATAACTGGTAGGTACCTAATCTCAATATCACCATATTCGACCTCGAACCATACTGTCATGACGTATATTTTTAATTACCTAAATATTAGATAGTTGCCTGATTACGCATACATATATGCAAGCTGCTTTTAATATCTCAGCCACTTTTCTCGGCATCCAAGAATCTCCGTAGGAATATGTACTAATCGTAGTACAACCGAAGCCTTAATCTCGATGTTGTGAAACCCGAGCGGCATTTCTTTTCTATTTCGATGCTGATGTAATATACTAACCTCACCGATATTCGGAGTGTACCTGGCAAAAAGAAAAAGGGAGAGAGGCCAGCGGATGAAAAGCGAATATGGAGGGAATGATATATGTAGTATGGCAAATTCAAGGCCCGGTATTGGGACGTTACCAAGTGCTCGACCCGGATGTCTAATGAGGCGGAAATAGCAGTGAATCCCCGCAAAGCATCATAAGACTAGTTGCGATCCATGAATTCCCAACTATGACAGCGAACGATCTTATAGGAAATAGGAGATAAGGGCGTTTAGAAATATAACTACGTCTTCGGCAAGCACACAGTGTTTAATATTTCTACAAGCTACTCGGCTAGCGAGTAGTTGCGAAAAGAGCTAATGGATGTCGTGTCTCGGTCTTAAGTTCTAGGTTAGGTCAATGCAACAGCTCGCGAAAAGGATCTTCCTTTACCCACAATATATTCTACCGAATCGTGGTGATAGGTGACGTATAGTTGCTCCGTATTATCCCAAATCCGAAGAGGGAGGGCGGCGGACATAGCGATATATAGTCCGTATAGCCGCATACAGCACCAAGTAGCCGACACATGGTTAAGCCCAACCGGTAGAAGGTCCGGGTCGGGCATCATTCGCCGAGTAGTTCCAAGCCGAACTTCATACTATACGTGGATGTAGCGTAATAAATCCTTTGCAATAGGCTTGGCTTATAAATGCCATGAAGTCGTATCTAGAGATATCAATGTTCCTGCGGATATAGGCATTAGCGGATGTATGAATAGCCCTAGTTAATTGGAATAGTACCAAGGTAACATTAGTTGGACCTAAAACCGATTTCTTATACCCGGGTTTCCTCTTCGGAGGACTTTTAGACAAGAAATCTCAGCCATTGTACTAGCACCGGCATCTCCCGTGTAGCACGCTATAGTGTCTAGGGTATAGCATATCCTTTCTGCTGTTGAGCGAATGGTGGAGTAGTTATGTAGTAATGGCTATGTAGTGTGCTGCTGTGTGTCGTTCCACTGTAATGAGATCTAATCCATCACTTACTATAAAGCCTAGTACGGACCATTCTGCTTCAATGTGTTCTAGATAGACTTTGCTATCCTACATATTCGAAACTCGAGCGATATTATTAAATCTATCACTATGATGACACTAGGAGCGAATCTAGCGGCAGTTGCCTCATTCATTAACACAAGATACACTGATACGTACGAGTATATTTCTCCAAAGAAATTAGACCTCAGTGGAAAATCGGTCTTCATCACTGGAGCTTCCAAGGGCGTTGGGAGGGAGACAGCACTTAGCTATGCTAAGGCCGGCGCTTCCGGAATCATTATCGGGGCTCGGTCGGACTTGTCAAGTTTAGTGACCGAAATCAAAGAAGCAGCAAAAAAAGCCGGTCGCAAGACCGAACCGACGGTCCTCTCCCTGAAGCTCGATGTCACATCGGAAGACAGCGTTAAGGCTGCTGCAGACGCTGTTTCGGCCACATTCGGAGGAAAGCTGGATATATTGATTAGCAACGCTGGCTACCTCGACGGTTGGGCACCCATTGCCGAGGCGAACACGTACCACTGGTGGCAGACGTACGAAGTCAACGTGAAGGGAGTCTTCCTATGTAGCAAGTATTTCATCCCGCTGCTCCTCGCAAGCGAGACCAAGACCAATATCTTCATATCGAGCATGGGCGCTGTTGCGGTTTATCCTACCGCTTCGGCCTATCAAACCAGCAAGTTCGCTATCTGCCGAATTGCGGAACACATAGTAGCCGAGTACGCGGACCAAGGCCTAGTCTGCTACTCCCTGCATCCCGGTGGCGTCAAGACGGAGCTGGCGACTCACATGCCCAAGGATGTACATGATCAGGTCCTGATTGACGAACCAGCGCTTCCGGCAGATACGCTTGCATGGCTGGGAGCTGAGAGGCGACCTTGGCTTAATGGGAGATTTATTAGTGTCAAGTGGGATATGAAAGAGCTCGAGGCTAAAAAAGACGAGATAGTTAAGGGGGATTTGTTGAAGTTTAGGTTGACGATTTCAGCTTAATTTCTTTACCTCCTATGTTGTTGCTAAGTTGTTGGTTATCGTCTTTGTCAATACCTACCTATACATAGTAAAGAAGTAACTAGAAGCTATAAAGTTCGTAACAAGACTCATTAGTTAGTGGAGTGTTTATGTAACTGATAATAGGGTTATCCAGGTTATCCACTTGACGTTGCTGGGGTTCGTCATACCTAGTGGACAGTTACGTGCACCTGCTAGCTGCAGACTTAGGTATCACTAGTAAACTTTAAGGGTCCCCATAAGTATCCGCAAGCTCTTTTTCTCATTGACAGCTTCAGATATGTGTTTTTAAAACTTGCGGTGTTTTTAACATTATGATACCTAATTCTTTTCGCAACTGAAGCTGGGCTAATTGCAACTTTCTTCTAGCCTTCCTTTTGTCCATATTTTCACCGTAGATGTTTTATAGGGAAGCCAATGGCCGCGATTGATCCTTGCACGACGCGTTAATTACCTTACTTACCTACCTTACCCTCCGACCCACGATGCCCTCCCGCAATGCCCGCCCAAAATCAAAACCCCCCGCGAACGAATTCAAGGCCATTGCGGCAGAATGGGCCCGCGCAAAACAATTAAAAGAGCTTGAAGATGCTATACAGAAGAAGCCAGAATCTTCTACCTCTGATGATGCGCGGCGTGTAGCTCTCGAAGCTCATCGAAAGAAGGCTTTTGAGCGCCGCTGTTTTTGGACTATAGGCTTTTGGTGCTGGCTGCTCTGTATCCACATCATTGGCATATTACTCTTTACCAGCGGTTTCCTTTTGACCAGATTGGTCTTGGATGAACAGTCAGAATGCGATAACCCACCTATGGAACCGTTATTGGAATGGAAGGGGAAGGGCACTGTGGATGGTGGCTGTTGGCACCCCAAGACCTTCGACAAAGCTGTTATTGTATTGGTGGATGCTTTGCGATACGATTTCACGGTCCCGGTTGAGGAGGACGACCATGCTGAAGTTTACCACAATGCGCTTCCTTTCCTCTACGAAACTTCCGTTAAATCGCCAGGAAATGCTTTTCTACGACCATTTATTGCGGACCCTCCGACTTCTACTCTTCAAAGACTGAAAGGTCTAACCACGGGCACTTTGCCCACGTTCATGGACATAGGTTCCAGTTTTGCGGGGACGGCCATAGAGGAGGATAATCTATTAATGCAGTGGAGGGCTCAAGGAAAGCGAATAGTTCATTTAGGAGACGACACTTGGACCGCACTATTCCCCGATTATTTCCAACCTAACATCAGCAGGGCCTACGACAGCTTTAATGTTTGGGATTTACACACTGTTGACAATGGAGTCTTGGACCACATAATCCCGTTATTAAAGCCCGATCAGACACAAAAATGGGACGTTCTCATAGGGCATCTTCTTGGCGTAGACCATGCTGGCCATCGGTACGGACCCAATCATGCTGCGATGACTGCCAAGCTTCAGCAGATGAATGGTTTCATTCAAAACCTTACGAAGGAAATCGATGATAATACGTTATTGGTCGTTATGGGTGATCATGGAATGGACAGCAAGGGCGATCACGGTGGTGAAAGTGATGATGAGGTTGAGGCTGCGCTATGGATGTATTCAAAGAAGCCAGTATTCGGTCGTACTCAACCCGAGTTCAAAACTCCACCAGCAACGGCCAAGATCCGGCCCGTAAACCAGATCGATCTGGTCCCAACCTTGGCTCTTCTCTTGGGTATTCCTATACCATATAATAATCTTGGTCGACCGATCGAAGAAGCATTCATTGGTCTTAAAGGAAGTGCCTGGGATGTTCTTGCAGCCGCCTCTAGTATAACGTCGGCCGGAATCAGGAGGTATCAAGCATCATACTTCAAAGCCCGTGGTATCGAGCAGAGCACGAAGCCTGGGTCTCCTGCAACACTCTGGAAGGATGCCGAGGCCCTCGTCCAAGCAGACACTAAATCTAGATCGTGGCAAGCTCTATACGATGCTTATACTACGTATCAGCAGGAGACGCTAAGAATCTGCAAAGAGCTATGGGCTAGCTTCGATGTCCCGAAGATGATACTAGGCATCGTAACCATGGCATTTGGAGTGATCGTATTATTACTCTACGTTTCGAGGGATGAAGACGATGACTTTGCAGTCCTGGATAACGCCGAGCTAGACTTTGCCGAGAGGAGCCTGGAATTACAGAGTTCATTGGCAGAGCCGGAGGGTACATCTTACAAAAGTTTCAGCAAGTCGCTCGCTAAGACTGGACTTCTAAGCGGTGGCATAATAGGAGTTCTAAGCTTAGGATTTATTCAGATCACCGGATCTGACGAATGGATATTAGCAGCTGCCGCAACGGCAATTGGAAGCATGCTCGCTGTGACTGGTGTTCTATTACAGATTCGTGGGATACGCATACTCAACCTACTACCGAATACACCCTGGGGATGGCTATCCGTCGTCTTCACGTTAAGCCAATCTATCGGCTTTGCATCTAACTCGTACACTATCTGGGAAGATTCAATCTCACTATTTTTCCTCTCGACATTTGGTTTCGCAAGCGCAGTCGCCTCGCTTCAACTACTATCAGTACGCGATCGAACTCTAGGCGTTTATCACTCCATCTTGTTTGTCATCCTTGGACGGGTAGCGTCTTTCTCGAAACTATGTAGAGACGAGCAGATGCCATACTGCACGTCGACGTACTACGCATCCGCCAACTCATCAACCTCAGCCCCTTGGCAATTGATTATCCCATTCCTCGTGTTCCTCATCCTCCCGTCTATCATCAAATCATACCTGCAAAGCTCGCGGTCATATGAGGGCCTCGCACCTATGTGGATCGGCACCGTCTTCCGAACAGGCCTTTTCCTAGCCGCCGTATACTGGACTCTGGATGCGGCGGATAATGCAAATTGGCTCACCTCGATCCCGGAGAAGATGCTGAAGACCATCCACGTCTCCATCGCCCAACTAGTTCTAGCCGTAGCCATCGTAGCCGGCACTACAGCTTTCATCTGGGCTCCTCCTTGCGTCAAGATCTTCACAACCGCACCCAACAGCAGCAGAGCACAGATCACCGTCCTCGGTTTCGGCAATGCCAACGGCGCGCGCTACCTCTTCCTTCCGATCAACATCGCCGCCGCCTGCATCCTCCTCTCGAAACCCATGGGAGGCGGCGCCCTCGCCATCATGCTCTGGCAAATCCTCTCCCTAGCTGAGATTATCGACCTTAACGACCTCTCCGCCGAAACCATCGGACCCGTAACATTAGCGCTACTCGGCAATTTCTACTACTTCAAGACGGGCCACCAAGCCGTCCTAGCATCCATCCAATGGGACAGCGCATTCATCCCCCTCCTTACCCTGCGCTACCCCTGGAGCCCCCTCGCCGTCGCCCTCAACACCTTCGCCGGGCAAATCCTAGCTGTGACCTCCGCCCCCCTGCTAGCCCTATGGAAAACCTCGCCTAAGCGTCGCGGCGCCCTAGAGACTGCTAGCCGCGCGCTCGCCGCGCTAGTCGCGTATTATGCCGTGCAGAGCCTTGCGACCATGGCGTGGGCGGGCCACCTCCGAAGACATCTCATGCTGTACCGCGTGTTTAACCCGCGGTTCATGATGGCGGCTACGGTGTTGCTGGTAGTGGATTTAGTTGCTATCGGGGTCGCGCTGCTAGGCGTTAGGACGAATGTCCTCGCCATCGGCGAGGTTTTCGGGTTCGCGGACTAGGACGTCGCGTACTCGCCGGAGACCGGGGTGGCGTTTATGATGCCGGTAGAGTACCGGTGGTGGATGTTCATGGGAGTCGGTGTAGATGGCGCGCATTGGTATGCGCGCGTGTGATGTAGTAGGTTTGTGGATGATGGGATAGGATAGGAAACACCTAGGTACCTAACTTAACTAAGGAAATAGATGAAAAAAAAAAGATCTTTCATCTTCATTTTTCTTTTTTGGTGTACGTCACAATAGTAGATACCTACATAGAGTCTTAACGAGACCTCAAGGCGAGGCCCCGTCAGAGAGCACATTAGTTGGGTACCTACCTATGTAAGTACCCGTAATGTTGTATATATTGACCATATACTGCCTATCTACATGTACTTACCTCTAGTCTATCCACGCATTCACGATCCTTCAAACCCCACCTGCCTAGCTATCCACCATAGGAACATGTCGCGAATAGATCATGTATCGATCGATTTAAAGTACGATATTAGTGAGCTAAGCGGATTGACAGAAAATGTGAATGAATGAATCCTCCCGACTAATCCGCGAATACCCGTGATCTATGTACCTACACGAGACATTTAATTACAAAGTTAATATACCGTATACGTCAACCCAGAGGTTAAGCGAGGGAATTTTCTGACATACTGCGATTTAGTAGTTTTTTTCAGTATTCAAACCTAGGTAGTCTTCTCTCATACATGTACATATATATAATTAGTGGTCGAATATACGGCAACGTAGTATATAGTGTTAGGTCATGATGAAGTATATACAGATATTCAATTGTATTTTTACTATTTAGCTAGCCTATCCACATGTCGAGTACCAAGTACTTATATATGTCGGCTGCAATTATGTACAGGAATCCTATTTTCGTCGTAGGATGGCGTTGGGTGAGCATGCTTCGCCCCATGTCTCAGACACACATACAGGTCGACGACAACCGCCACCATGAGTTTAACACGCCTGTCTACCTAATTCAAGCCTCAAGATGTACCTCGTATGTGATCGTGTGGTGTCCCCCCTCCATCCATTATTCCATAATAGTAACAAGGAAGTTGGCGTTAATTAGCAATAGAAATAGAAATAGAAAATAGTTTTATGTTACGAGAAAAGAAGGCCGAGAATATCGAGTTGGGTATCAAAAAAAGCGCCGGTATATATGTAGTGTTACCGATTCGTAAAAGCAGTCGTCCCAATCCAGTATCCGAAGCCTGTATCCAAAACAAGCATATTGTATGCCTGACCCCGTTCCAAAGACGCCCAAGAAGTGAATTACTGTCGGATGGAAGTACCGACCGTAGGCCTATAGAATGCTACCGAAGCAAGCGTGAAACGAATACGCATAAGAATGACAGCATAAGTAGAGACGGTGCTTGCGCTATAGATGTCGCGGCGCTGTCCGGAAGTGGTTCGGGAAGTGTTGCGCTGACAAAATTCCCACCGCAGTTTGCGTCTATTTGCTCGGCTGCTTTTACGTACGTGCTCGATATCCATTTCGTTCGGTCAGCCGCCGCTGCTTGATATATCTTCATCGTTTCGCTTGTGCAAGTATCGCATGCGGGTACAGCTGTTTCGGGGAGGGATGAATTGAAAGGTAATGTGTATAGGTAGACGTTGGAAGCAGTCGTCTGGTTTGTAACCGCATTGACAAAGCAATACGTCGAAGTGTCCACATTATATAAACACGTTGCGCCGTATATCTCTTCGTACGACTTCATTCCCTTGTAGGCCTGGATCACTAGGTCATTTCGCTTGTCGTAATCCTCTCCGCAATTCTGATCGGATTTGAGCTTCTCAGCGAGATCATTGAGATAGGCCGTGCAAGACTGCTTGTCAGCTTTGCACGATGTTTCGATGACCTGCGTAATTTTGACCACGGATTTCATAGCCTGGAAGAATGAATTGGAATTCTAAAAACCTTGTTAGTTAATTGCAATCCGACGACACGATCGACATTTAAGACTAACCTTCAAAAGTAGCGAAAGAGGATAACAAGCTTGGAATGTCGGGTCCTCTAAAAAGGTATTGATAAAATCGAGGCAAGATCCTTCCCCATCTTCGCCCGAGAAGTTCGCAGCGAGTGCGCCGTCGAAGGGTGTGGGAAGAGGGCCTGTCGCGACGGTTGTCTGAGCAGATACGTCTCCAGTGGCTGTAGCTGTCGAGACGTCGACTGTAAACGTCTCTGCCTGCCGAGGGACGAGCTGGCGATGCTCGTCTTCGGACATGATCTGCCAGTGACCGTTGACGAAAACCGGTATCCGCGTATCAATTAGCAGATTTGTCTCAGTCGATCGTGGGGTGTCCTCCAGTGAAATAGCAGCAGCTAGGGGGATCCAAGAGGAAATGATTAGGATGATCACTGCCATATATATCCATTGTTTGTGGTATGGTGAAACGGCAGCAGGGTAGGGCGGGCACCCGCGGCGCAGTGACCACTGCCACTGGGACCTGAAGGAGCGATTTGAATGCATTATTATGTCCCCGAAGCAGGCAACCGATCAGCGGCTTGTTCGTACATTACTTGGTGATGCTAGAGCCTCCGGCCGGTAGTGGCCCGGCGAATACTACGATAGCTAATGGCGGTTCGAGTTCGAGGCCTCAAGTGAAGTTGCGGTAGGAAAATTCTGGCCGTTCCCACCGTTTGCTCTTATTATATTCAACAGATCCTTGGCCACCCGAACCCGGTATGATCCTGCGGACGGTGAAAACAAATGTCTCCGTTGCGGGGACGAGTTGGCCAATATAAAAAACTGACGGGTAAATGAATGCGTCCCGTAGCGAAGAGCAGAATACCAATGAGATAGTGCGCTTCTATGCAACGAAAATGCCGTAGCAAATCCAAAGCAGCGTGCGGGGGTAAATGTTGAAGCTGGGAAATCCACCCCGTGATATGTGATGTGTTGGTCACTATCAGAGTATTGGGGATAGATAATGGCTATGGAGACCCAACGACGAAAAGAGCAGGAGGATCTCGTTCATAAGCACAAGCAGCACGCCCGAGCTTTTTCAATGAAATGAAATTATGTTCGAAATGACACTGGCCATGGGGCGACGGCGTATGTACGAGTGGTCCCGAGCGTTCCCATTTTGGGTCTTCAGGCCGGTTGGCCTATCCAGTGTTTCCCAAGATCCAAGAAGACAAAACGCTAGTCTAGACCGGGCGCCTGTCAAAATGCAGCGGAGAAGATATCGCAATCGGGGTTCGTAGCGTAATAAGACGTGGCCTATAGCCCTTGGCCGCCCTTGGTACAGTAAAAGAACCGACCCCAAATAAGCCATAATAAGTCCCGCCGTCGTGGTGTCATATTCTTGTCATATTCTTGTGTGCCGCTTAGCCTGCCTCGATAGGCATAGCCAATATGACCACACAGTCATGAGTAACATAACACAGGCGACATGTCATTTCTTTAGAAAGGTGCCGGATTCCATCACATCGGCACATCTCAGGAGGTGAAGCTAGCAATTGGACAAGGACAAGGACTTCCTTGCTTGATGAAATGTTTACTTACCCAAGCGTCCGACGAGTAAGATTGTAAGCAGAAGATTACCTAGGGGGGATCTTGGCTTTTAGGAGTTTTCGAGAAGGGCTAGTACGCAAGTAGTCTAGAACCAAGTCTTTTTCTCCGATTCGACTCGATCCCGATTGAGGATGCATGAGGTGTTGTTGATGGAGTTGGGAAGTTGGTTAATGGGATTGGACGGGGTTTGCATAAGCGAAATCTTACTGTTTAATGCAAATTCGTCAACTTCGCTCTTAGTTGCTAGACATGGCTGGACATGGCTGAACACGGCATGAGTGTAATTTCTAACGAATCATAAAGCTTACCTAGATAGGTACATAAAGTTTCCGGTTTAAACTGTGGTACCTTATGTACCTACCACGCTTGTGTTCATTACACTAGAGAAATTGTACTTAAAACGTGCTAGTACTGCATTATTCAACACTAATGCCAGGCACAGCTGCAACTCTGCAGCTCCTCGTGTCTACCTGGACCTGGACCGCTAACAGCCATTAGGGTTATTTTTCTCTAGCGTAGCGGATACCTGCCCCTGTTCTTGTTAACCATCCTGCCATCGTACCAGACCATAAATGCCAAGTCCAGCCTAGTTCTTATCACTTACACGCAATAATAAGTCGACTAGTTGTTACTATTTTCAACTCTTTAGATGACCACATCATATCTATACTACGCAGCCGGCAAGCACCGTACCTATTAAATAAACAATCATATACCTAGATCTTCAAAGACAACAGGGTGCTACAAACCATAGCTTTCTTTTTCAGCTCCGGTTCATCCGCCCGGATCATCACGATCGGTAGTGCAAGGTAGCATCGGGTCGCAATATTGCAAGGCTAGACGCGTACGTACATACATACCCAGGTACATACATACCTAGGTAGGTCCATATTCCTTCCTTGCCTCGAGCCAAGACGCTCCGTTGATTGGTTTCGCTTACCCAAGATTTCTCTTCATTTCGTACATACATACATATTAGAACCCAGGATCCCGGGTTCCTTCTTACCAATGAGATTCTATGTAAGACTTATGCCCCCCTCGCTCTAGGGTAGGTATATTAACGAGGTCTTATTAACTTGGTCGTCCCTTCGAGACACTTGAAGAAGCGGACTGCAGCTCGACTGCCCGCTGGGACCATGTAGACTGTAGTACAGAGAGGCCTCGGAATATATCACGATATGCAGATTAGACCCTCAAAAGTGTTGAGATGAACAATTTTATGTAAGCTTAATATAAGTCATATGCGTGACTGATGCAAGCACGCGGCTTTCCGAGGCACCGCTGTGTACTTCATTTATATCTTCACCGACTCGTATTGCGGCTTATTATTCGCAACATTATACCCAAAATCAATGCAGTCTCATGTTGTCACAGCCGAGGATATTGAGAATGAGAAAAAGGTAAGGCTAACATAAAGCATATAAAACGTGAAATAACTTCAGGCAGATCGATCGTCAATCTCTCATACCCCTTTAGTAGTAAGTGATCGACGGAGATTGTTACTTAAAGTTAAAAACGATCTAGCCCTACATCGTGATCTACATCTGCGATTCTGCTCCATAGTAAATGCTAAGCCAACATCGCATCACTGCTTAGACCACTTAACTTACACGGTATATGAACATGCCTTGTGGCTTCTCATCCCGTCAGCATAAACCAATATCCGAACATACCACCAAAAGTCTAACATCAGCTCTCCCATTTCCTTCCGACGGACAAAACAGTATCTATCCGCATACGACTTCATCAACCCATTCCCTCCCTCCACCGTACAATACCCACCCAACCTCTAACCTCCTACATATCCACACACACATGTGCGTAGGCAAGACGCATGCACCACACAAACAACCTCCCCTCCTCGTGGCAGCCGTGAGACAAAAGACGTATCTACCCGCTCCAGCCTACCAATCCAAGACACGCCTATTCCGTCTGTGCTCGTCGGGGGTACCTAGTCACACGATTCTCAGCTGCTGCGAGCTCCTCCTAACGACGACATCAGGTCTCAGCCACCAATACATATGTATCTCGTCTCGCCTGCTTCTGTTTCAGTTTCAGGGCGGGCTTCCTCGTATATCTCCGCACGTCACGAGGGTCATCAGATGTTGTAGCTTGGAGCTTGGAGGCCGTAAGGGGAAGTAACAGGCGATATACCTCGTTTATTGCCCTATCTGACACTTTTCGTACATAGATTGTCACATGAATACTTACTGTAATATGCTACGACTAAAGTATTAGCCCCAGTTCAGAATAATGAATATTATCATATTCAACAAGTCATTATGATATACGTAATTTAAGGTATTTGTGCGAGACGAAGGTAAATCCTCTATAACCTAAATGGATAGGCATTTACTATAAATATTGACAAAGGTTGATAATAGTATACCGTATAAAATACTTTCAAATCAAATCAAATCAAATCAAATCACACAAGTATACACACACACACACACGGTCACCAAAACCCAAATATGTTCGAGTAGTTCATTACATTTTAAAATTAAATAAGTGACAGGAGTTTTTCTTTCCTCCCTTCAGCCCATATGCGTGCTGCCCATATCATACCAACATCTAGCCATCTACCTCATAAGTATAGGCATATCTAGACCCTAAAACGCCAATACGATGCTATAAATCGGCCCGCGCCCCGGTCTCCCACTCATACGACGGCGCGACCTCATTCTCTAACTCGTCTGCCAACTGCGCTGAGCAGTGGGGGGGAATCTTTATGTATCAAAATGAGAGGGAAAATCATCAAAATATCGCGGCCAACGTGTGCGTCTAAATCCAATTTAACTCCCCTACCGAGTCTTCTCCAGACTCTGCAGGTTGACCAACTCGGCATACCGGCCGTTCTTCCGCATGAGCTCGACATGCGTGCCCTCTTCAACAATGCGACCCTGGTCAAACACGTAGATAACATCAGCCTTCTGGATGGTGCTAAGACGGTGCGCCACGGCAATCGTGGTTCGGCCCTTCGCAGCCTTGTCAAGAGCCGCTTGGACAACATGCTCCGACTCCGAATCCAACGCACTAGTAGCTTCATCCAAGAGTAGAATCTTCGGGTCGCGGATAAGCGCACGCGCGATGGCAATACGCTGCTTCTGTCCACCAGACAGCAGGGCACCCTTGCTACCGACAACTGTGTTGAAGCCATCCGGCAAGGACAGGATAAACTCGTAGATGTTGGCTTCTCTGCAGGCGAACTCGATGATTTCGTCTGTAACGGCCTCGGAAGAGGAACCAAGGAGAATGTTCTCCTTAATTGTGCCCTGGTATAGCGTCGGCTCTTGGGATACGAGAGCGATGAAGGATCGGTACTGATTGACGTTTAGGGTACTTATCTCCTTTCCATCAACAAATACGCCACCGACAAGAGGGTCATAGAATCGTTCCAATAAAGCAATCGTAGTACTCTTTCCGCAACCCGAAGCACCGACCAAGGCAACATATTGACCGGGACGGATCGTCAAGTTCAGACCACGAAGCACGGGCTGCTCGGGTCGCGTCGGGTATCGGAAGTGGACATCTCGGAACTCGATGTTACCTTCAACGATTTCAACAGGGGTACCGTCCCCGGACCAGGTGTCGATATTCGGCTTTCGATCAAACAGCGTCTTGAGCTCCTCAGCGGCTCCGTGCGCCTTGCCCATATCGGGAGCGAAAGAGAAGATAGTACCCGCAGACTGAGCCCCAAAGATTACTGACATAAAAGAAACAAAAAATTGGAAGAGATTAATCTCGCCCTTAGCGATCAAGGTGCCGCCGTACCAGAAACCAAGGGCAAATATCAGGAAATTAAGGGACTGAGAAGTGGCGTAGAGTATCGACGACTTCAAGACGGAAATCAGACTGGCTCTCTGCTGAATAGCAAGAGACCTCCTGTATTGAGACATAACATCATCCTCCCTAGTCAGAGATGCGACGGTACGGATGGCCGAGATGGCTTCAGATGCATATGTAGCACTCTGCTCGTAAGCCTTTCTGGAGCGACGTTGGAAGTGCGCTAGCATGTAGAAGCGGAAGAAGCCGCAACCTAGTAAGAGCGGGACAGTGGCGATACAGACAAGAGACAATTTCCAGTTGAATGCGAGAGCAACGATCATTGCTGAGATAAGCGTCGTGGTAACCATAAGCAAAGTACCAAGAGTAACACCACTGAGACCAGCCACGTGAGTAGTTTCGGTGGATAGGAACGACGTGAGGGCACCGGCAGT